CCACTCGCCTGCCTGCCTGATTGCCCCTAACTGCTTGCCTGCCTGCCTGATCGCCCCTAACTTCTTCCCTGCCTGCCTGATCACCCCTAACCACCTCTGCCTCAGCCCCCACTGCCATGGCTTCATCTGGAAGGACGTCCAGAATGACGTCCGGAAGGTCATTTTGCTGTCTGGTCTAATGAGCATATGAAGGTCACCATTTGAAGGTGAAGACATCCCTTGGCCACCCAAGGGGATGTGGGTCCCTGAGGATCAAAGGGATTCAGGTGTTGACATCCGGAGCTGCCCACACAAGAAGGGGTGTGTGATTGCACCTTGAAACGTGTCACGGTGGTCAAGCCACAAGGCCCGTGCCCTCTGATTTTGCCACAACAGCAGAGGGGGGGGCTGAGGGGCCCCGTTCACACACCTGATCGGATCGGGTACCTTCCCGTGAGGAAAGCGGACCGGCTTGGGGTGCACAGGGAGGCGGCAGCGATGTTCTGGGTCAGCTGGACACCTTCTCTGGCTAAGCTGTCGATGTTGGGGGTCCTGGGAAGAGAGATGGGGGGGACAGTGAAGAATTGGGGTGGGAGGAGAGAGAGAGAGAGAGAGAGAGAGAGAGAGAGAGAGAGAGGACATAGACACAGAGACAGAGAGAGGGGAGGGAATGACAGAGGGAGAGACAGACATGAAGACAGAGAGAGAGAGAGACCAAGAGAGACACAGAGACACAGAGAAAGATAGAGGGACAGAGAGAGAGAGAGAGACAGAGAGAGGAAAGGAAAGGCGGGAAGGAGAGAGATTGAGAGGAATAGACAGGGGGACAGAGACAGAAATTGCTGGCACACGTACACACACACACACACACACACACACACACACACACAGATCTGAAGGTAAAAAATCTGTTTCCTATAATTCCCTGTGCTCAGAAGAGAAGAAAAGGTAACTTTCCACGTAAATGCCATTCTCCTTTTGTTTGGGAACTGCTGTTTTTTGTAAGACTGGTATAATTTTGTTCCGCCAATTAAATATATAGATAGATAGATAGATACATAGATAGATAGATAGATAGATAGATAGATAGATAGATAGTAAAATGAAAAGTGCCCTGCCTAGGAAGGTGACCCAGTACCACCCTCAAGACCAGTACAGCCTGGATGACAAAGCAGCTGTCCTATTTGTAGTGTTCCCTTGACTGTGCTAGTCTGTTACAAATCCAGTGGGGATCTTCACCTTGGGATGAAGATGCGTTTGGCTTCTTCTTCTAAAAGGAGGGAAACAGACAGGAATCCAGGATGGGTGAAGAAAAAAAATTCTCAGGTGGAATATGGACAATGGCCAGAAAAAAAAAGAATTTTTAAGTGGGAATTAGTGTATCTTTTGAAAATCTGGGATTTTGAGTGGCATGAGAAAAGGTGGGAAAAGCCTTTGTAGGCAAAGAGAATCAATTAAAAATGAGAATAATAAAATCTATGAAGCTCAAGTTTCAGGTACATTTAGAGACTTTGCAAAAATATGAAGCTTTGAATGCTACAAACTCAAGCTTTGCTTTATAGTAACTCTGTGGTTTTGGCAAGTCTTTAATCTCTCCATACCTTTCTGGTGAGGTTACTGTGGTGATGACATTAGACACATTTGATGCAGTTCAAGTTGGTTGCCGAGACCCCAAGCCCAAAGGCAGACACATGGCCTAGTTCCTCCTCTACTGTGAGTCGTTGAGACCAAGAAGTGTCATACCCATGTCTGTTGAGTGCTGAACAAACCCTGAAGTCTCATTTTTTACAGTCTTTGATCTGAATATTTGACCCTTTGTTCTGCTGGTGGTGGCCCAATTTATTAAGACCTCCTGCTTCATTTCTTAAGCTCAGCTACTATTCTCAGCGAATAAAACGGGAATGATAGCCACTTCATACAGGTATCATGAGACTTAGCAGTGATGCATAGGCTTCAGCACAGAGATGCAAATTCAAGTTTCAGTCTATTATTTTCAAAGTGTCCTCCCCAGTAAACAGGGATAATAATGCAGTTTCCCTGAAATCTAAATGCAATTTTATAATTGTGAAAAGACTTTCCAAATTATAAAGTGCTAAATAAGTGTTAACATCTTCAATAGAGACTAGTTAGTCTACATATCTTCACTAAAACATAAAACAAAAACAGTAAGTGGTGGAACTTGAAGTTTTCTCAGTAAGTTCTCAAACTGAAGGATAGTCTTCCCATTAATTTTTTGGTTAAATGAGGCTCTTTCACCTGAACTCTAGATATCATTCCTTCTACTCCTCCCAGGAAATTTGTCCTATAAATCAATGAACTGCCACTTCTAGAAGATCAAACTACAATAAGTAACATGCCCACTTAAAAAAGTACTAAAAAAAAAAATTGGCTAGAGGGCTCCATTTTCCAACGATGCTATGGAGGAAATGCCTCTACTGGGTGGAAGACAGGCTAAAGTGATAGGAATGTTGAGTTGGAAAGGGTTTATTTTCCAGTTCCTTACCACAGCCAGTAAATATTTATCTACTTTCCGTTCAAGTACTGCTAGCCTTTCGATTTTTGATAGATAGATAGATAGATAGATAGATGATAGATAGATAGATAGATAGATAGATGATAGATAGATAGATAGATATATAGATAGATAGATAGATATGTCTTTGGATTAGACATCTTTGCTATACACACACACATACACCTATATATACATATATGTACACATATATATTTAAGGGCCTTTGGCTTCGAGACCTTAGCCATGCCTAGCTACTTAGAGACCTAAGGCTGAGTATTCGGTAGATCAATGTCCCTTCTCTACACTCAGGTCACAAAACTGCCAGAGATTGAGAGAGAACAAAAAAGAGTCTCAGCCATTCGCCTTATCGGGATGGACCGCTGAGCTTGGGAAGGCCGTGGCTCTGAGCTCCCGTCTCCTGTTCGATGCCCCTCTCCCAGGACATCCCTTGTTAAAAACACATCGCCTTGCACAAAAAGGGCGCTCGGCTCCCCAAATCAGGAAGCAGGGCCTGACTGATTCTGCCGAGTAAAAATACACTCAGGGAAACCAGCCATTCGAGGAAGACAGGTACCGCGGGATCTCACTTATAGCTCGAATCTGATGAACAAGATAATCAAACCAGCAAAAATAGAAACAGACTCATAGGCACAGAGAACTGGCTGACAGCTGTCGGAGGGGAGGGGTTTGGGGGGATTGGGTGGAAAAGGTGAAGGGATTAAGAAAAAATAATTAAAATAAAAACTCACAGCCAGGCCAGTGTGGCTCAGTGGATAGAGCGTCCACCTATGAACCAGGAGGTCACGGTTCGATTCCCGGTCAAGGGCACATGCCCGGGTTGTGGGCTCCATCCCCAGTGGGGGGCGTGCAGGAGGCAGCCAGTCCATGATTCTTTCTCATCATGGATGTTTCTCTCTCTCTTTCCCTCTCCCTTCTTCTCTGAAATCAATAAAACTATATTTTAAAAATAGGTTTAAAAAAAACTCAGAGACAACCGTATGGTGATTATAGGAGGGAAAGGGGTTGGCGGAGACAGAAGAGGGGAAAGGGAGGATATATAGGGATAGAAGGAGACTGGAGTTGGGGTGGTGAACACAGACTACGATAAACAGATGATGTTTTATAGGGTTGTAGGCCTGGAACCGATGTCATTTTCAGCTAGTGGCCCTGTGCACAAATTCGTGCACGAATAGCTCAGCTGGCCATCCAGCCCACCTCCGCCCACAGCTCTCTGGCCCACCCTCCTGTAGCTCTCCATAGCTCATAGCTCAACGCCCCACCCTCCTGCTCATTGGTCGTTACACGTGACGGCGTAACTTCCATTTGCATATTGCCTCTTTATTATATAGGATGTCACCCAATAATTTTTCTTAACACATATAAACATCACCACTCATTTAAATAGTCTACATCAGTGGTCGGCACACCGCGGCTCGCGAGCCACCTGCGGCTCTTTGGCCCCTTGAGTGTGGCTCCTCCGCAAAATACCGCGTGCGGGCGCGCACGTACGGTGCGACGTTGACTTAAAACTTTAAGTAAAGTTGATTAAGTTAATTTTAGGAAACATTGTGGAGTGAGAGAAGATGGAGTGTCGAGGATGGAGAAAGGTATGCTGAGATGGTTTGGACGTAGAGAGAGGATGAACGAGAGGAGATAGACGAAAGAAGTCTACAAGACACGTGCGGATGGGAGAGTTGGAAGGGGTCGACCTGACCTCAGAGAACGTACCTCAATCAGATTGAGGATGTTTTTTTAGCAAAGGCCAGCTTAGGAGTTACCCTAATTAAGTTCATCACAGTGTACCTACCCATATAGTTTAAGTTTAAAAAATTTGGCTCTCAAAAGAAATTTCAGTCGTTGTCCTGTTGATATTTGGCTCTGTTGACTAATGAGCTTGCCGACCACTGGTCTCCATGACAGAAGACTCCCTATGAGACAGGTAGCTCAGTGTTCTGCATCAAGGAACTCACAGGGTCCACTACTATTCACTCAACAGATAATAAGAAGATTAAGGCAATCAACTGGTATAAATACAGATGTAACAAGACAATAAAACACAGAACCTGGCTGGAGATCCTGGCTAGAGAACCTGGCTAGGCTGCTGATCAACTGACCGCTGTCTCCCTGTCATTCATTCTTCGCCGACTCCATCCACACCTTTGGGAACCCCTGGACCTGACCATGAGTCCAGAATCAAGACTCAAATGCACATGCATTTAATATGACCTCGTTCTCAAAAGAGGAAGCCAACAAGATAACGTTGCTGTTGCAGGGAGAAGCGGTCATGAGAGGCATCAACCCTCCCAGCCTCGAGGACACACCTGATGGTGTCGTTTCCATAGCAGCCCAGGTCTCCAATCCCAAGGTCGTCTGCCATTATCAGGACGATATTAGGCTTGTCATCGTCCGCCCTTTGCGACTGGCCCACGGTGAGGAGTAACCACATCCAAGACAGGGACGCCCAGCGCCTCCTGAAAAAACAAGCACGGGTTGTAAGGAAACACCCTTTTCTGGATGGTTTCAGGGTCCATGTTCCACGCCCACGTCATCTTCTGTGAAGGCAACAGGGTAGGTTGGACGCCAGGCACATGTCCCAGGACAGGGCCTACGGGCTTCTCTCTCCAAGTCCAGGTCGCTCATCGCTGTTGAATGGTACCCACCCTGCTCAAGGGCCGGCTCTCCTGGGTGCTCAACACACTCAAACTCATTGCTGTTCTAGGAGGTGGAATCCGAAAACATAAATTGGCTCGGAGACAAAGCATTTATTCCTTGGGTGAGAGGCGCTCAGTCGTAGGAGGTGATGTTGGTGGTTATGTTGCTGACGTGTGCTTATGATTTCTTGATTTCTGCCATGTGGTTATGGTGATATTGCACAGACTTATGCAATTAGGCTCCTGGTTAATTTGTTGACTCGTGGTTAAGGTTACATTGCTAAGATGTATAAGGTCATGTTCTGGTTGTGTGGCTGACTCCCTTCACGTAAAAATGTAATTGTGTGTGGGTATACCAGCTTTGCTGGAAAAAAAATTTTTTTTGGTAGAAAACCAGAAACACCAATAAAAAGGCACCCCAAAATAAGTAAAAGGAGGGCATGGAAGACAACTGAATCCTGGAATCTGGACACGGATTTACTCCGCTTCCTAATTTTGTTCAGTCCCAGCTCAAGTCTCGATTTCTAAGAAATATAGAATACTAGAGGCCCGGTGCACGAATTCATGCACCAGTGGGGTTTTAGGCCTGG